GAGGGACTTGGGTGGCTGAGAACACCGGCAGGACACCGAGCTCCTCCTCAGGGCTCCACACGCCGGCCAGCGCAGTCCGTGACCACATCAAGTCCCTGGGAGCGAGCCATCGGACAACCGGGCTGCCCCCGACCCACGCCAAGGGCGTGCTCCAGCTCCCCTCTGCCCCTGGCAGAGCATGGGCCCGGCCAGCCGCCAGGCTCCTCTGTGCAGCTTTGGTTACCGACCTGCTTCTGCGTGTAGCTCAGCGTTCAGCTACTCTGGGTGGGAGAAGGGATTTCTCTGAAAGCTGGTTGTTCACAGGGAAATGAGGAGAAGCACAAGCAACGTTAGGGAAAAAGAGAAAACAGACGTAAAACTCTTAAAGATGGAACACACATAACAATTTATTAGCAAAGAAGCCAACTTTGGAAAGAAAATAGATACAAGGCATTCTTTTTTCTTTTTTTCCCCTAAACACAACAAAACCACCAACCGCTCCAGCAAAATCCCTGACGTTACCCCTGAAGACCAAGGTCTGCTTCCTTGGGAAGGCTGAAGGCGCTAAGCTGCTGCCATTAGTGTGCAGTCCTGCAAGCACAAGCAACGCTGAACAACGATCCACAGCTCTAACCAGCTTCAAACAGAAGAGTATTTACCCCACACATGAAGAAGAAGGTGAAGTGCTTGGTCTCACGAGACACACAGCTACCAAATTTCCTTCCTACAGCACAGTGCCGAGTGGGACTGTATTTATTCTCAAACTCCTGCAGCAGAGATCGCTAGGAACTCAGTATTAGTACAGTTCTCACCCAAAAGTTGACTACAGATTTTCTGTCATTAATGTGTCTCTTCTTAACAAGTGTAACTTTTTGAAAAGGCAACTAAGCAGCAGTGTACGCTTTTAACTATAAGGATTGCATTACTTACCTCTTATACTCCACCTGCTGCTTAGACCAAAAAAAAGCCCACAGCACTTCCTAGCTGAGCAGAAACAAGCCCAGGGACTGCAATTTCCCCCTCAAAAGTCATCCCATGTTCTCAGGCTATACTATTGAAGTATCAGGTCACACAATCATGTTCTCCCATCACACTCAGAAGCCTACCACATGTTTCAAAAACGAAGATATACAGCTCTACTACAAGCAGAACATTGCAGTCGGTGATGATACACTGTCGTATCCAATAGCTCTCAAATGAGGAAACTTTCTGTGAGAGCATGCAAGCATTTCTGATCAGTTCTTACGACCCTGGATAAATTATCTCCTCACCACAATTTCTCAGTTCCAACTAGGAGCCTCAAGGAAAATCTGATGAGCTCGAACCCTCTGCTCTCCACTAACATAGAACATCGTTCTTACAAGTGGAAAAAACTAAACCTGCTTATATCTCTGTTAGAGTGACAGGGAAGGAACACCTCCCCAACAGAAGCAATTGTACCATTGTACCATTTAGTTGAATGACTCTTCAAACACGACTTCCACTCAGATTTGTGTAATATTTAACCTCCACTAGCACCCTTAGATTTCTTTATTCTCCTGAGATAGCAAAGCAGAAAGCGTATCAGAACCAGATCTTTTGTGCATCTGTTCTTCTTCATGCACATATAAAAAACAGGTATTCTGTGGACACCAGATAAACAGTACTCCAAGACATGGGATTTTACCATGGTTCAGCACATAAAAAGAGGATGCAAACACAGAAGATGTGCAGAAAATTACTTTTCCCTGCAAATTTTGATTGCAGCTAGCCAACCTTGCACAATTATTACCGAACTATGCAGAGAACCTTAAGACTAATTTGAACACAATTTAAGTAAAGGACTAGGTAAAAAAAGGAATTCCCTCAGAGGACAGTTACAGCAGACTTCAAAGGGCTGTATTTTCTACCAGCTAATTAGTCACACTGAGAGAGGCCAGCAGACACTCTCCTATTCTGCTAGACAATGAGATAATGAAAAAACAATTAAAACCAGAAGGTATTGCAAAACAAGAACTAGGAAAGGTATGTGTAAGGGGTGGGAAAAGGAACACAGGGATACCAGCCCATGGGAAAAGCCCAATATATCTTGTGTCCACAGAACTTGGTTTTCCAAAAAGTGCAGCAACACCCACCCTGCTTGACTTCTGCTGCGTATAGTGCTCAACAAAAGGATATTACAAGCAAACGTTTACCCTTTTCATAAGGGCTGCAATTTCTCTTTCCACATTGTATTTCTCTATGGCCAAAATGGCACACTCCACATCATGCTGCAGCATCTCTTCGGACAAGTCCGTATCTCTTACCGCAGCAGTCTGATCACCTGTGGGCGTCTGTAGCGAACAACGAAAAGCATTCAAAGCTGCAGGGGCAGCTGC